TACCTGGAATACAGTCCTGATCTTCCCATTTCTGAAAGGATAAAAAGAGGATAAAAAAGGTGCTAAGGCATGGAACCGTTACCTTTATTAGAAAATATTATATTGACACAAATTCTTCAGAAACATCAACTCCATCATCTCTTAGGTAGCATGAAGAAAATGAATCAAGAATGACTGAATTTTTCACAGTATCACTAGTAGATCAGCTGCACGCACTGTAAGACTCAGATACTGTTTAAAAACCATACAGAAATAAATCTCTAAGTAGTATTTTCCAAGTAGCATGTAACCGTGGAACTCACTGCCACATGAAGTTACAAAGGCCAAAAAGTAAAAATTGATTAAAAAATTAAATTCCTAAAGATCGGTCCATCTATTTCATTAAATACTGTGGTCCATATGCAACCTTTGTTGAAGGATGTATTTAGACCACCTGCAGCTGAAAGCTAGGAAGCATCATTCTACATTATTGTTTCCTGTATGTCCCCTTAGTAGATTCTCCTAGACACTTTTCAAAAACGGGTCATGGGCTAGACAGACTTGAAGAACTGACCGACTGATAGGAAATGCTAGTCTGAAAAGCTTAGAGGTGTCATCTCTCTCATATCATATGGAAAAGCTATTGGCTGGGATACAGAGAGGAACAAGAAAAAGCTCATGGGAGAATGGGAGAAGTTTCCAGCTATGGAAATCCCAGATAACGGTACAAATCATAATTTTGTTCAAATAAAGCAACGTTTAGTATTACTAGTAAGGAAAGCAGTACCTCACATCACTTTTTTTTTCCAAAGTTACTTTGCTGCCTTAAAGAAAAACAGTATTTAAAAAAGGTAACAGAGACAGCACATAACAATCTCACCATAGAAGCATGAGCCAAGCAGTGCCAAAATCTGAAACTGAGAAAACTTCTGGTTCTTATTTCTCTAAATTCTTTACCTCAAATTCTCTCTATGTATATCCTATTTATATTTTTCAGGTCTACAGAGATTTCAGGAGATTAGGAAGGAACATTAAAAATTGTTATTTAATGCTACTGAGAAAATATACTAAAACATTATTAGATTATGATTTAAAATTACTTATTAGATAGTCCATACCATACTTTCTCCAAAGTGTGGCTGAAGCCTGTCATATTTAGAGAACATTCATGGAAAAGTAACATTTTCTGAAGCAGAAAAAGAAATTCCTTTTGCAATCTACTAGCGAAACTGTGCTTCAGCTGTATTTGAACAACAGAACAATTATCTAGGAGTACATTAAGTACTGTATGCTTCAGAATTAAATTCATTGGCTAAACAAAGATCTATGTCACTTGATTTGGAGGACAGATTCTCAACTTTTATAAAGTTTTATGTTTGACAATATCCCAGTGAATTTAGTCACACAGAATTAGTTGAATTACTTTATTCACTCAGCATGTTACTTCTGAAGCATGGCAAGGATTTCACATCCTTTAAAATAAAAATGCCGCTCAACGCACATTACCAGAAAGTTGCATCATCTCGACCCACCTGCTGAATGCTGTGACCAACAATTAAAAAAAATCATGCTGTCTGTTCTTTGACAGGCAAAAGCAGCATTTCCATGGGGAGGAAATATGTGCAATTAAAATAATACCTATATCTCAAAAAGCCGGAAGAGTGACACAACAAAGCATGCATTTAATCTCAATTTAGTCCAAGCACTCCCTGTGACAGAAAGCATGACCAACGGGAATTTATTATTCTGCGTTGGCAGCATGCAGCGTTGTGGCTCAGTTAAAAAAAAAAAAAAGAAAAACGCATCTCTAAAATTTAGCATCTTCCTTTCTAATGTGTGCTTTTAATAGGCTCTCCAGAGAAACAAGCTATGCATCCAGGACAAAATCACCTAAAACATTCTAAATGTAATTACAGATTCATTTTATTTAAAGCACCTCTTGGAAGCTGGAGACAAAAGAGACAATAGTCTTGTTTAATTCATGTTGAACAGCATACCTGGACAGACATCCGTCCATGTATTAATACCGGACTTCTCATGAGCATATAAATTCGTGTTTCTGACCCAATTTCACTGTATTGAAGAAAATCTATTAAGAAAAATTAAAATTACAGTTGTCTAATACTGAAATACTTGGGTGAATTCAAACATGCACCACACAGTTGCTTTGATTAACAGTGTGGCAAATCCCAGCAAGCAAGACTCTGATTTGATAGAGGAAACTGGAACAGTGAGGCACTAGGACTGATGGTTTACTACTGCTGCCCCTTGAGACTGGGAATGAGGCAAAACCCAGACTCCTCCAGTTACAAACAGATTAGCTGTGGCTCTGCAGGTGTTGGTAGTTTATCAGTGCAATCCTCAGATTGGCAGACTTTACTGTTATGACTTGTACATCCTCTTTATAAAAAAAGCAATATTTTAAATTGCCCTTATCTATTCCAATAGTTAATTTTGTTAGATATATTGGCAATTTAGAGAAATCTTCCTATTGCCAACAGAAGTCTATCCTGTGAAATTCAATTTTGTTATATGTTTAAGTGAAAACTCAACTCACTGAAATAGCTAGACTCCCTGTAGGAACCTAAAAAGAAAATTTCCAAGAATTTAACTCTCTAATAACAAAAGCTGTAATCTTTAAAAAAGAAACTGCATGTACATGCACACGTGCATGCCCCACTACTGACTGAGCTATCAGATCAGGTACATTACCTTTCAGTTTTATTTCTCTTCCCAATTTTAAACCAATTAAGCTAATTCCAATCAGCATGAAATCAAGGTTACATACAAGGCTCAATTTCACTTCCTAGCCTAATGCTATCATTAATTGCACACTCTTAAAACTTCACTTCATGCTACATTGGTTTTAGTAGATCAGTGTCTAATTGGCATCAGTTAACTTAAGTGACTGGATTTAAATTTGCCGTTATGAATTAATCAGTACTACCCATACACATGAAATGCATTCACTTGAGATACAGTTTAAACTCTGTTAAAAGTAATTTTCAAGGACATGTTATCTGACTATGATTCATGAGAATATACGAAGACAGGTCACAAAAAGTGTCCCAAGACTGGTGTCACTGTTGCCTAACTGTTTAAACACATGCTAAATTACTCATGCAAGTGACATATGTCCGAATACAAATTTTGCCCAAAATAGCTTTTCTAAAGGAAGCAAAAAAGTGTTTAACAATAAAACCTTGGTAAATGAAATGAGTTACTAACACCAAAGTTTTGCACATGCTTCATTTCAGCAAAAGCTGAGATGGACTAAATGTTCCCCTCTCTAGCTTTTGGGTCTAAAATGCAGGAGACAGTGGTTAATTAATAAGCATTTTAGAGACTGAGTGCATAATACTTTGCATATACCTCCTACCTTAAAAGATTTCAGAATGGGGAACCTATTCATTGTTTAGTGAGTGCTCTGTGTTCACATGTCGAACAACAGCTGTGTACGTTTGTATGAACTCACACTGACGAAACTGGACAATTGCTGGGGCCCAGGAGTCTCACTCAGATAAGACTTGGATCACAAAAATAGCGGAAAAGCAGTTTACAAATTGAAAGATTATTAAATCACAAAGTGACTTCCCGCATGGGCAGGGCATAGTCCTCAAAGACCAAATATTACAGAAAAACTGCTTTGGATTTGCTTCCAACAAGGGATGCACTGCAACACAGCAACAATAACCAAAATTGATACAAAGGATGAAGCAAGCTGGTCAATTAAACAAAACACCATAGGAAGAAAAAGAGAGTCAGTTTTGATTAAACACTGTTATCTACAAAGAAACTGCACAATACTAATTGCACAACAATAAACTGCAGATCTTTTATTTGCACAACATACTTGGACACAACAGCCAGCTTTACTTTAAATCCCTCTGCTTTGCTATATGGGCAGCATCAGATTCAAAACAAATACAACAGTCACCCTAGACTAAAAAGTATTAATCAGCATCCTAAGTCAGCTTGTTTGTGCAGCTGGAACTTACTGGTAAATGCAGAGGTTGGAAAACAAGCTCTCGTGAAGAAGCATAGAGCCAAACAAAGAATTAATAGCCACAACAAAAAATGTTGCAAAGTAATCCAATTTATTACTCTCACAGCTCCACTGAAAACATGTAAAGTAAAGCATTTACCACTGGAAAGCAGATATCTAAAGTCAGTATTAAAATTGCAAAACAAAGTAGAATGACATTTCTTTAATAAGGAAAAGGTAGATAAAACCAAGAAGTATGAGAATACTTTCTGTCTTCCATTTGTGATACGAACAGAACAAGATCACATTAAATGGGCATACAGACATAATGCTCATTCTGGTGCCAGAGTAGCTCCATTTTTTTTCCCCAAATCACTTTTTATTGGAATTTCTCCTTATATAAGACTGAGCTAACCGGATGGCTAAAAACTGTACTTAGGCCCTGGTTCAATCAACAAATGTGATCACAAAAAAGAAAATGTATTTTTTCATTCTTCATATTATCTGGTATCACTCCATTGTTTCACTCTGATATAGTGACATATTTTCTTAGCTAACTGTTTATCATGACCGTGCTTTAATAGCAAGTTTCTGGTCTCATTGACCTAAGTTTTAGTTCTTTTCCAGCTCACTATAGTAGTTCACAGGCTGACAAAATCCTGCACAGGTGAACCAGTTTCTTTTTCCACTCTTACAATAAAGCACACCATTTCTGATTAGAGTGCTTGCATAGTTACAGAGGAGAAAAACATTCCATGCTTTCCATTATTTTAAAGTAATATAGTACAAGCTACCTCACAGCCATGACTATCATCAGCTAGAGTCAGCTAGTTATTTAGATCACAGGATTCATGTTAGAATTGAAGAATTACTTTAATAAGACAAGTTTTCACTGTAACAATGCTTGAAACAGGACTGTATTTTAATTACATCATCAATATAATTATATAACTTCTGATTTCAGCCATGTTATTATTCATAGTTAGAAATATTTCTGAGACAAGAGAACCCTTAAGGAGACAAATCCATGCCTTACCTTGTGAAAGGCACTGATTTGCCAGTGCAACCTGTCCGGAGTGTAGATACAGGTTAAGACGCGTGAAGATACTGCTCAGAGATGGAATTGTGATGAAGCAGAAGGCAACACAAGCCTAAAGCAAATAAAAAAATGAAACTGAAGAAAACTCTTAACTCAGAGTTATAGCAATCATTACTGATTTTCTACACAATTAGGAATCACAGTTAATTAGTTTTGGGAAAGACTTTCAATTAAAAAAGAAAGTATTAGGTGAAGTTCAAAATCAGCAACTTAAAATTTTTCATTATTATTTCAATAATTATAACAATATTTATTATTAATAATTATTGTTATTACAAGTAGATAAGCTCAAAATTTACTCTATGACTAGCTCAAGGAGTTTCTCTCTCCTCACATAACCAGCTTGCAACTCAAGACCAAAATCTAACTAGAAAAGCAGACTACTGGTCCTCAGGGACAATCCAGCTGTCAAACTGATCAAAGCAAGTGCATTGCGTATGTTTGGGAGGAAGCAGATCCCATGCAGCATGCTGCAGCTTTAGACCTACTGCGACATCCCAAATACCCAGGTGGAGCGAGTAGCTCCCAGGCATAGAGGCTGGCCAGTGTCACCCAAGCTACCCTTTGTGCAGGACGTGGTGCACAGGTGCCGTGAACAAAAATCTATTCATTAACGGTAGCATATGCAAACACCTTCCCAACACACGAAGATAAAGGCATCTTAGTTGCTATGTTTCAGGTGAGAAGAGAGGAACACAAGGAACTTCCACAGCCTATGCATAGTTCAAAGCTCCTTTGAACATACCTATATAGATTTAGAGGCACTAAAGGAGCACTTTATTTGAAATTCAAATACTGATTTCAGCATATCAACACTGATTCTACAAGACTGAATTTAATATTCTTTTCCCTCTCTCTTCCATTCTCTCTTTCCCTCTCTCTTCCGTTCACTCTGTGATTTGAGTTACACAGAAATTTAGGATTTTATTTCAAATATAATTTGAAAAGCTGAGCTTTCTAGAATTCACGCAAAGACCTCCAATGATCCTTCCTTTAGAGAGGGAATCAATCTTGCTGCTTCTTTTTAACAAAAAGCTGCCATTAGATGGTTTGTTGTTTTGTTTTTTTTTTTTCTTAAATGGCAGCGTTTGGCTTTAGAGAGTAAAGATCAATGGTAACAACAGAAAAAGGGACTACAGTGTCATAAAATGCTAACATATTGTTTTTGCAAAAATTATAAACTTAGGTGGCCATAGATAATACTATCTGTTAAGAAGGCAAGCTCAAAGTTTGTTAGTCAGTCCTACCCTGACAAACGCAGCAGTCTTTCTGGAATGATTTCCTTTCATCACTTTTCTTGTTTCCATTGCTAGCTGGTTCACAGACTACACAAAACCCAAAAGTAAATCATTAAGAAAAATACACAGATTAAGAAAAATACACATGCAAATAACAAACTTAATGTTTTACTGCATGCATTTAGAGAACAGAAACTATCAAAAGGAACCCTGATATGGTGTGCCCTCACTGTACTGTTTAGTTTTTTACTAGAGAATTTTAGTGACTATTCCTTAAATCAAATATGACTCTGAAGATTTGTGAAGGTAGACCTGTTGATTTATTCAAGGATTTAGATCACCCTTTCTTCCTAGCTATAGTGCTGTCATCAGTTCCTTCCTGGTATAAAAATCATAATTTCTAGCTAACACACATTAAAAAACCAAAATCAATATAATAAAAGGGTTTAAGAGAAGATACAATGTTGCAAAGGAATCAGATGCAGTTAATGCTCACCTGACATGTGACTCAATACAGTAAAGAGATTAACCATCCCAATCACAGCAGGACTCTGCCTGTATCTGCAGCCAGACACAGTCTAATCTCTCCTAGATGGAGGATTATAGAAGAGAGAACCCAAATTCTGAATGCACAAAAGTGCAATTTATTTTATTAGATATGAAATCTCTTCTAAGATAGCCAGTTTTCTTTGTCGCAATGATACCACACATGCCTGTCAAGCAAGAACTTCAGAGAGTTTAGGGTAATAAAATGAGAGATGAGATCAAAGTCTACTTTAAAAACACCTGATAAAAAGACTTTAGATTTATTTTGACACAGACCAATAATCTGGGCAGGGAATGGGAAGACTGCAAATATATCCCCACTTACTAAGATAATGGAGATAAACCGTAGCTTACATGAATCAACTGGACTAGAACAGGCTCCAGATTGCAAAATGTTGACCTGGCTTCAACATAGAAACTCAGCTGCTGTTCAAAGTCACGGCCAAATGAAACCTATAAAAGACAAAAAAACCCAACACCCTAGGTTTTATCACTGGAGGCCATTAACCTTAAGAGATATAAAGCTGTGTGAAGCTAAACCACAGATATTCAAAAGTCAAAATCCCCATATATGGGTAAGAAAAAACCCCGCTGACAACAAAACAGCACCTAGAGCATCTGTGTCCTTTCAACTATCTGCTTTCCAATACTTAATCTTCAGGGAAACCTGAAAGTTTCGCAAGTGTATTTTTTTCCATACTCCACACGATCTTCTACTTTGCAGATAAAGCATTTATCAAGAAACTAAAATGTAAATCCTAGATTTATGAGGTGTTTTCAAACTAGCAGAATTCCTGATTCTTTACAGAACAGGGACGAAAGCTTGGTATAGTTCATACTTCAAAAGCAAAACAAAAAAACCTGAGAAAAACAGAAATACATCAGTGAATCTCTATTCATATACCTGTAATTTCTAAAGGGCCTCCAAGAAAAATTAGCATTTTTTTAACTGGATATACCAGTAAGAAAAGCAGGAGTTTCCTCCAGTTTGGTTAATAAATATATGTTTATATAGTATTGCAAAAGCCTGTAACCTTGTATGCTGGCAGAAGAGAAATCAAAAACCAACTCTTGTGTAAGAACACCCTACTTCCAACCCTCCAGATTTAAAAAAACCCAAGTGCTGTCAGCTGGAGTGTCTCAGCTGTCAATTAAAAGCCTAGCAAGAGAAACAGTCTCCAGGCAATCTACATTTATGTATTCAAAAAGAATTTTTTTCTAAGAGAAGATTGCATTATTTATCATTTCTCAAGCCACATGCAAAAGAAATTTTTACAGAATTAAAAATTGCAATTAATCCATACAGTGAAAGATCAAAGGAACTGCACCAGAAAACAAAGGATTTCTTCTTACATTAGACAACTGTCTTCGCCTTTCCTCTATTTTACAACTGCTGATTCTTGAGTCCTCATCTCAAGAAAAACTCCTCTAAAAATATAAATTTTCCACAAAAAAGTCTGACTGTAAGGATGACTGTTACAACTGCTTTTCCACATCTTAATGAGTGCTAGTTTAAAATTCATAACTAGTCATTTTGCTTCTATGGGATTATTTTTTTTTCCTCCCTAAACCAAGACTATAAAGCCACATCAAATATTATTCAATGTGGGAAATCCTCCTAAAGGAAATGATACAATATTATACAGCATATAAAGTTTAGAGCAAAATTATAATAAAAAACATGTTAAATAGGAAATTATTATAAAGAAACCATCTAGAGATAAATTCATAGAACTGCAACAAAGAGGACAAGTAGAGACAAAGCCTGTCAGCCCTGACCACATGAAAGAAAAGTCAGGCACTGAGAGTACCTGGTTACAGAATAAAAAAGCTTGAGAACGTCTCCCTGAAAGAACCTGACATCTCAAACACAAAAGTCACAAACAAAAGATGTTATTGGGATAAGAGGGAGGGAAAGGTTAAAAATTAATTTCAAGACAAAACAATTGGAGTTTTTGTGGGACTACTAATTTGATGATACAAATGATCTTATTTGTAAATTAAGATAAACAGAGGTTAAGACTAACATATAAGCTATATTTATTTTGTGTTTTTTAAAGCTGGTACGGGTTCCATACAGAGCTAGGTGAACCTCATTCACATTCATCAGAGACCTCTCTGTAATAGGCAAGACTTTAACTGTTGTTTAACTTTTAAATACTTATGAAGTTTTACAAGAGATTGAAAAAAAATAGCAGAAAATGATTAAATAAACAACAGGTGCACTTTAAACTCATACTGCACCATGTCAGCTTCAACACTATATGATATTACTTTCAGTACACGCATACTTATTTCACTAAAATACAACGGTTTGGTTTTTCAATGGTCTTAAGCAAGTCAGACACACAGTGTGTGATTCAGCTACAGAGGCACCTGTTTCTCATGGGGATCTCATGAAAATCTGAGCTATAACGTACACCCCAACAGTTGCACACAATTGTCACTCACCATTTTTATGAATCCATTTATCAAAGCTGCTAACATTCTTTTCTCATCCTCAAGTGTTAGTGCACTATAAGAGAAAATGTATATGGTAATTTTAGAATACTGCTTATCTTATTATCTGTAAAGGTTCAAATGATACATTTTAATTTATACAACATCACATCCATATAAAATATTTATGACACATGAAGACCACCAAGCTTGTAATTCTAGTTATAAAGCAATCAAACTAATTTTAATATGAGTGTATCGCCAAGTCAACCATGCAAACTAAATTCCAAATTTTAAAAAAAGGTAAAAATTGCTAAGAGAGTCTTCAGATTTTACAGAAACTCAGACTTTGGCAGAAAAAGGAAGCTAAGCTAATGTTCTTTACTGCAGCAAGCAAGTGGCTTTAGTCTTGTGTTACAACATGAGAACTTGAGTAGGAACTGATTATAAAAACCTAAAGAAATGAGTAAATATTTAGAAAAAAGTTATCCTACTTAAGGGTAAAAACTTTAAAAATACACTTTAAATAGTATATGTAGTAGTTAATAAATTTATTTTATAAACAACATTAGGTTACATGGGGGGGGTGGTGTTTGTTTTGGGTTTTTTTAGTTTAATTAAGCCTAACACAATTTAAAAAATAATTAACATTACCTTGTTACAGTTCTCCCTTTTTGATGTTTTAGTACCTGAACTAAACTGATGTGTAAAAAGTTTCAAGATTACCACAGATACCTATTCTATAGCAACAGTCCAAATATGATTTGAACAAATTTACATCACATGAAAATCCACTAAGTTAAACCTGTTTCACCAAAACAGGATGAACAAAAAGTTAAATTACAATAAACTAACACAATTTAATCCTTTTACTATTATATACTTGGCTCCAGCATTGACCTTTAGTGTATCAGTTACCAATTTCCTAGCTCAGACACCAGATGGGAGGAGAACAATAGTTATATTATACAAACTCGGTAAAGGAGGAAAGAAAATCTCAGCATGATTAGCTCATTAGTGCATTGCCAATCAAGAGAGTCAACTGATGGGCTCTGAAAGGCTCAGAAGACTTGTAATGAGATCTCTGGGTCAGTTATAGGTTTCCAGTTCAATTCTGAATCAGACCCCTACCAGTCTAAAGGCTGTTACCCTCCAACAGCTGTTACCGGGGTCAGCAAACCCTACACAATGGGTTGGGACTTTTCTGAACCAAGATGTAAAAATAGATGCAGGAGTTACTCTGAGATAGTTAGAATTTATAATGATTTGCCAATAAGAGATGACAGAACAAAACCAAGCTATCTTACCTAGGCTAAAAGAACAGCCAGTTTAAGGGATTTTAAGGACCCCAGTAAACTATCAAATTGTTTTGGCAAAATGTAAGAGGAAGCACCAAATATGGATTGCCATTAACTGCTTGATTTTTTTTAATAAGCTGTTTTAGCTTCAATACATTGTTCTATTTAAAGGTTGAAGTGGCTTTTAGTACAACATACAGCCAAATAAGGTGCTCTAACCCAAAATAAACCACTCTAGCTGGTATAAATTGGAATTACACACCAAATCTGGCTTCTTTATTGGCAATAAATCTTACATTCATGGCATATCAAGGGTGAGAAAGTTACAAGCTCTTTTACAGTGTCTGCCATACTAAGAGACTAGGCTCAGAGTGCCAAAAGAAACAGTAACCTCACAATTCTACTCAACCCAAACCAGAAGAAAAAAACTGAGGTTTTTGCTCTTAAGATGTAAAATTTGCAGCATTGTGATTCTGGCCCTATTTTCAATCAGATACAGATTTCTGCGTGATTTTTGTAAGTTACTTACAAATCACAACTTTTTTTCACATCGCACAACTGCTATTCAGTGAGGGTACGACAGGGCACCCAGGATCCCTAGCAAACTGGGCACTCAAAGTCAAGGGGATAAGAGAGATGAGAATTTAGAAGAGAGACACAGATGGTTCAAAAGCTTCTCCTCTGTTCTAGCTTCCCCTACTCATGTTCCTAGAAATCTTCAGGTGTCCTTTTAAAGATTCCACACCTCTCTGTAACACCTGGAAAAAGTGGCCCCAAAAAAAGTTACAATTGAGTACGGCAACCTGTGCTTTAATAACTACATGTTAACTTAAATCTCAAAACTAGTTTATTATTCACTATAACTCAAAGATTACATTCATTTCACTCTCAAAAATATTTTTAAAAGATTGGATTGTTTAGTGTGTCTGCTTCACACTAGAAAACTCTACAAAACTGTTGCTACTTTCCTTTTAAAATTCTGCTTCAGTATTCAAAATAAAGCAGTAATTAAAAAGCAAATGGTATGTGCTGCCACTTCACTGCACAGCTCTTCCCTCACCACTAACTGGATTCATGTCTTAATCTACCATGAAACAAACAGCCTCAGAAATGTGAAACTGTACACCAAGCAGCCAGACTTTGCATAAACATTTATTAGTATGAGTAAAATTAATCTTACTTTACAGAATCATGCATCGTCTTGCAGATATGCAGAAGAGCATTGAGTATAACAGGATCCTTTGTAGACTCCTGCTGATGCCTACAAAATGTTTTAGAAAAAGTGACAAAAAAATCCTGCTCCATCAAAATGAGAAACAGTGAATAGAATAATATCAATGTAACACATAATTCCAATCATCAGCATCATATGACACCACAGAAGCTTTATATTCATTTTTTAACCAACAGAACTCCAAAGACCACACGGTTAATAGATGTACAACAAATGCCAGTCAAGAAATAGTCATGATGCAAGGAGCTTTACTGCCAAGCCACAGAATCTGACTCCTTAAGGGACACAGCAAGCTAAAGATGTGATACACTGAGGCAATCTAAGAACAACAAAACTAAGCAATCCTAGATCTACCAAGTAGTCATATAGTTTCTCAGCTACTGAGGGACAGATGGGAAGGATGAATGTCATGTTTAGGTACAGAGTCACATATGCTGTGGACCACCACTACGCTGATTAAAGGGCTGCAGCATCTCTCATATGAGCAAAGGCCAAGAGAACTGGGACTGCTTAGCCTAGAGAAGAGAAGGCTGGCGGGGAGGGGGGGTGGTGTGGGGCTTGGCAGTACATATAAATACCTGAATGGAAGGTGAGAAAGAAAAAAAAAAAATGTTTCAAGGAACCTGCTAATTATTTGAAAAGGACTGTTTGACTTACAATATTTGAAGCTGAAGCCTTATCTAAGTTTATTTTCAACTGTGGAAATACCCATTTTTCTGTATAATGGAGCTTGTAACAAGAGTCTGTCTCTCTTCCTCCATTATACCAGGGTAACAGTTATGTGCTGTCACATCAGCTGGAATACACACTAAATTTCATAAGGCAACATAAATTTAAAAAAAAAGCTCAGAGAACAACTATGCTGTTAATCCACACCAAGTCAGCATCAATATGATTACTTCAATTTCAGTTTTCTTTCACAAAATTGACATATCTTTGCGTTTTTTCCCAAAGCTTGTGAAGGTGTTCCAGGCTAAGTGGCCTATATACTAACTCATCTTCCCTAGCAAGCTTTCAGTGTATTCGCCAGACCCTCCAGAGTGCATTTAATCTCAATATTCTCCACTTACTTAATAAAAGATTCCATAATGCACTTGCAAACCTCCACTCTCACACTTTCCTTCTGGAACATATCCAGAAATGGCAGGAATTTCTCCTGAAATTACAAATACATAAACAAGTAATACTAGGTATTTTACAAACAACACACTAAACCAATAAATATTTTGAATAAGTTTTATAATCATAGCTGTTTTAGTTAAAATTATTTTAAGCTTTTTGAAGACAGTAATTCATCTTGAAGGATGAAAGACTGGAACAAATGGAAAAGCACCAATGGCTAAAAGGTGTATCAATTTCCTGATTGCAGAGATCCAGAATAAAACACACAACACAGAACTGTTTGAAACAAATGTTGCAAATGTTTTAAAAGCAATCATATGCTTGAAACACTCAAGATCATGACAAATTCGGACATCTATGGGAACCAAAGGTAGGATATTAAAACCAACAAAACCAGGCCACATGCCAGCAACCATTTTGCATGTATCCAGGGCAACTTATGAAGATTCAAAACATTCAAATTTTCTTCAAAGATAGGGGTTTAAGTTGTTAAGATACTGAAATACTTAGCTTTTTTATCATCTCAATAATATAGCAAGGGTAAGCTTTTCAGAATTATCTGAGCAATTTGTGAACAAGACTTCAATTCCACAGGGTCAGTCGAATTTAACTCTTCAACTGGTTTCAGTAGTTTGACATCTGTGGTCTTTGCTCTCTTTCCCTACTTCATACACAGCCTCTGATCTAAGTTTCACTTTGTTTCAATGTCAAACTTAAGCCCTATGACAGAGTATATATTGTATATATTAAGTATATATTATAACATAGAAACAACAATCAGCGATTACATGAACACACACGTGCAAATAACTATTATTTTATCTTTCATTGTCACTCATGCCACAGTAACAAACTTAAAGAATTTAACAGCCTAAGGAAAGAAAAGTATAGAAAAATTTAATTAGAATAACGAATATTTAAGTAGTAAGCAGCAGGGAGCTTCCAAAATATTTCTGTCCTTACCTATTTAATAATAAGTTCACTCACATAGTGAGCTTGCAAACAATCTAAATATCCAAGTCAGGTAAATTCTCTTGCAGAAACAGTGCAAAATAGTTCTTAAAAATGTATTAAACAGAGATCACTTACCACTGAAAAAAGCAGGGAGAAGTCATAAATATAGGTAATAACTTTCTGAATAATTGACTGCAGCTAAAGTGAAAAAAATAAAAATAAAAAAGGGGAAAATTATTGTAATACCAGTCCATTAAAACTACGCACACCAGAGATTATTCTTCTCTAGTTATTCAAAGAAAACTGGAAGACACTTCAAGCATTCATTGATGTGATTTCTTTCCCCAAAGCAAGGTCAACTACAGCTAAGCTGTTCCTAACAGATGTTTTTCCAACATCTCTTCAGAACTCATATGAACAGAGGCTGACCAGCCTGTCCAGGCATTATTTGTTTTTTACTTTTTATAGTTAGGCAGATTTTTCCAATTTATAGTCTGCATGAGCTCCAGCTCTCTAGACTTTAAAAGAACACAAACAAACAAACAAAAAATCAGTTTTTAAAATATTCTTCTGTAGGCACTTTATCTACCCTCCAAGTAACCACAAAAACCTTCTTCTAGAACCTCTTCAACTAATCCATATCTCACCTACTATCTCAAGAACTGAACACAGTAATTCACTGAAGCCCTGACAATGCCAAGCAGAGATGGATTATTTTATGGTTTACTTTCGTTTAAACAGCTTCCCATAATTGCTACTTTTCAGAAGACCACTGTTGATGTAGGAGTTAACTATTGCTGCTTCTAAATAAATAAATTATTCTGGTTTAGCATTTCTCTCAACTGAAAGATTGATGCACAGGGAAAAAAGAACAAATCATAGCATTACACTGTTTCAAAAGGCTTCCCAAATTATAGCCAGTGCTTAAAAATAATTATTTTGTGGTAAGAGATATATGTTTAAGAATTAATTTCACCTAAGAAAATGCACATCAGATTTCTACAGATTTGGCAAAATAAATTCTTTACCTGTGGGTAAGCATCTTCAAATGCTCGATCAGGAGTCATGTGCTTGATAACATCAGCCAAAACTGTATTGACCTCTCGCTTCTGTGTAGTGAAAAATGAGATTACAAAATATAGTACTGAAATCAGCACATATATTGAGTCACTGAAAAGCAATTGGATAATTTATTTCCATTTGCAAAAGCATCAGCTTTCTACAGGGTTCTAGTTAAGCCAGCAACTTTAGCCATAGCTCCAGTAAATCCTTACTTAAACTGGTCCATCTGCCATTAAAATAAAAGGATAAGAAATATGCAGTGCTGAGGAGTGGTGAAGACCCCTCCAAAGTTGCATCTTTTGTCCCTATTCATCTTTCATGAAAAAAAAAAAAAAAAAGTTTTTTCCACTCACTACCAGAGTCCCACTTATATTGAATAGCAATAGCTTTTCCATTTTTAATACCAAACTGCTAATATAGCCATTTAGTCTGTATTAGAAAACCTTCAAAGGAAACAGTAATTTTCACATACCGTAAAATGTCTGCATGTATACTCCACCCACACTTCAGCACAGTTGATATAATCCTAGAAATACATGTGTCTTATTATTACCAATATTTACAGGGGGTTATGAGAAATACACTTGCAAAAATTACACTTAAAAGAATTAACTCTGAGGTATGATTCATGCAGACCTAAAGATCTGGTGCTAATGACAAACCTCAGAAGTTGCTTATGTAGAATTATGTTATGTGGAATTAAGTTATACTTAAGTAGAGCTCAGAAAAGGATCATTTTCATATGATCCATTATGAAATGGATCATATGAAGATATTACCAGGCATCATGTTTTTTGGCAACTGCGTGTATAAAAAAAGGTAAATCATGCCATGTTAAGCATATCCTTACACAACAACAGGCTACAATTTTGCCCTAAATACAGAATCAGTAGCGAATCAGAATGGACAAGAACTCACCTGTGGGTTCTTCAGCTTTGTTATAACCTTCCAGGCTTCATTTAATATTTGAAGGCAATCATTTTCAGGAGGATCAGCCAATGCCAAGTTTAATCCCAAGGAGCGAAAGAGGAGATGCTGGAAGTTAATGAGAAATATTAAATTAAAAGGAGAAGATGCATGTCTGTCCAACACTGCTCTAGCAGACCCACTGTGCAGAAAGATTTTCTGTATCAAACTACCTTTTATTTAAATGATGTGTAAATTACACAGGCAACTGAGAGTATAAAGAACTCTATCAGACAATGATCAGAAATTGTTATAAATTACATACATAAAGTTACCTTTGGGAATCCAGATTCATCACATTCCTTAATCATGCCAATGAAGTCCATAGATCTTGCAGCAATAAACTCTGCTCTGAATGCTGACATGACTGAATTCAACAGCAAAGCACTATAATGAACATAACACAAATCAATACACCTCAACACCAACTAAAATTCTGTTGTCACTTCATTTACATTCATCTGAACTTCTTAGACTAAAAACTGTCCGGCAACTATTCTAAATTTACAAAAGGGAGATAAGGAAGAAAAAAACCCCATAAATCAAGCTGACACTGATGCAGATTAATAGTGCATAAGCAAAACAAGAAAACATTAAGCCATCAGATACGGAAGGATAACCCAGCCCGTAGAATACTTGTTCCACACAGGGGGTTTTTTAGGCCATCATTTTAACAAATGTTTACTAGAAATATCAAGTAAACCAGGAGTAGCTGATACATTTAGGAACTTACTCTCTCTTTTTAACTACAGTTCAGAGTATACTTTGGCAGCAGGGCAAATCTCTACTGAAGTTTTCCTCACGTATGCATTATAAAAGTCAGATTTCTAGTGGCTGCATTGTTAGGATTAAAATAAATCCAGTCATTATCATACGATAACCAGCAATTACATATTTAGACATTTACGATTAATCATTCAGATCCATATTTGTATTACTGTCAAGCCAACGTTACCAATGGATGAGTGAACTCATTGCATTACTGGAAAACCCAGTTTACTGATACTGTTATACAAACGTAAGAAATAAAACCTAGTATCATTCATAAGGCAATTCCTTTGGGCAAACTCAGCCATGAGTTAGCAGAGAAGCACCTCATAAAACGCTGTGTCCTTCAGTAGTCTGAAACAGACAGTTTGAATACAGGGCAGTTTACCTTGAGGGAGATTCTATGGAGCACTTAAAACAGCTCAGCATCCTCTGCGTTTCTGACCGAGCACTAGCAGTCCCATCGCAATTTGACTGGAATGTGCATTTTATCATTAGACAAGTACTTCCAGTTCACTAGGTATATGCTTTGCAATACAGGGAAGCAGACCGTCACTTTTCACTTAGATGGTAGTTCATGGAACATACTGAGATTATTTAAAGATTTATATACTGATGCTTCTTGCTTTGTAATATTTTGACAGTCATGAGAAGACATAAAAACACAGAAGTCCACATTAAAAGCAAACGACCATGCTTTATATATCATCTAAACTAGATTATTCAGCTTCCCCATAAAAAAGACGTCCCAAAACCATTTCTTTAAAAAAAAAAATCCTCATTATACTCAACATTTTGTCCTTCCTTCAAAGAACAAACAGGCACAAAGCAGAAGCACCAAGCCCATCTTTACAACAAGAAATGCTAAAAGGTGATTTTAAAATAAGTTCCACAAAACAAATCAACACCGTACAAAATAATTAACAGAGCAGAGCACATTAATTATTTTTACCCAAATTATACACTCTGATACAATAACATCTTCACACCACATTTTAAAAATCACACTTTCCCCACAATCCTTAGCTCAGTCACAGAATGCTAATGCTGGCATTCCTCATTTAAGCGATTAACATATTTTAGTTCCTCAGCCATTGCAGAACTGGACTGTGCAAAGCACATCAGAAAAAAAAAATAGGCAACTGAAAACTTTCACAGAACTCAGCCTACCTAATACAATAAAATGAACTGAGATTAGCTCATCAGCAGGCCAAATTACATTCACATAGCTCAGAAAGTACATCCAAAACTTTCAGACCATCTTCCTGAACTACTCACTGAAGGTGATTAGTCTGCTCACAGAATTCTAGGAGACATTTGGGATACTAATTTAATGTTGAAAAAAGCAGTCATCTAAATATTACCATCTTCCAAAGGTGTCAGCTGCTTTACAACTTCCCTTGCAAAATGCATGCATGGGCTGGCTGTAGCCAAGGGAGGCAGGGGGAAAGGAAGGGGAGGAAAACAGAAAAATGAAGCACAACCAGGAATCAGAGACATGGCTGATGGAGAACACATTACATGTCCTAAACTTTGGCTTAGGAGCAATCAAGTTAATTAATTTAAGTTTTGCTCTACAAGTAACCTACCATATTTTAGAATTAATCTCTGGAAAACACACATGTTCATAGTGATGATTTAGCAAGTTCTGGGAGAACAAAAGCTATACTGTGCATCCAAGTGTTTTCAAAAGGAAAAGAATTTTACATTGCAGGGAGTCACGGGTATTCATTACAGACTCATGTCTTCTACATTGTGCAATACTTACTTGTTCCCCAATTTTTTGCATCTCTCCATCATCTCAGTAAGAAGAATCTGGAAGAATTATTTATTAAATTTAGTGAGTAGAGACTCTGCAAATAAATTCAGCTTTAGTTACTGTAGTGAAGTCTACTAAAAGCTGGTTTAATTATCTGCCCAATACATTCCAATATTCTTGTCTTATCCTTATTTACAACGCAAGATAACAATGGTGTAGCACAACATAAAACACACCTACTGGAATAGGTACAGTGGCATTTTAATCAAAAGCACCGTTTTATAGAAGTCAAATTTGCACTCCTTCAGCCATACCATTTCTCAAAGTAATTGCTATTTGCCAGCCAGGTCAATTATCTCTGTCAGGAGAGGTGAAGATTACCAAATCTCTGCCATAGAATGCAAAACAGTCTGAGGCTAAAATAGCCCATGGACTACATTAAGTAATTACAAAGCCACAGTTTACTCAAATCATTTTTATATCTGTATGACAGAAGAAACTAATGAATTCAGGAAATAAAGATTAAACTAGATAAAAGACAAGAAACAAACAGGAATACTGCCTATGAATTTAAAGTGCTCTAACTTGAGCTTTGTGAAAATGAATGTTCTCCTGTATAGAAGACAGAAACAGATAGTTGTATCTAGGCTCTATACTCGCTTTCACACTCATGTAAGTATTGACTGAGGTGGTTTTTTAACTGACAAAATTAACTCTTCACCCCAACACCTTCTTTAGTATCAAGCACTACCACGCTTACTTACTTCAGGAGCACGGTATGCAATACACTGCAAAATCCAGTCTATAGCAGGGGAGTATAGAGTCAAATACAAAGGAATCTCCACACACTGTACTATCAGCTGATTCTGAACTGTATCCCCATGAATCTGTTGAAATAAAAGACAAAAACATGTTGCTGTGAAAAGGTATTTAATAGGAGCTATGATAAACTGGCCAAAGTTTGTGTATGAATGGAAATGACAACAGACAAGATCACAAAGATACACAGATATTCTGAAGCACTCCTTGCATGCTGTGGAAAAAAAAATAAATCAAGCTCATAACATGCTGAATAGAGTGGTTTCAACTTAGCAGAATGTTTGTAAAATTTTCCCTATTATATCTGGGTACAGGCACTTTTCTAAATCTAAATTTAAGAACTTCAAACATTTTTTAAAAGTATGCGGTAGTCTGGTAAAGGAGTGTTATTTATGTGATTTTGCAAATAAAACCCCTATTTTCTTACTTGTTTAAATGTTAGAAGAAAGTCAAAGAAATTTTTGTTAAGGCTTTCTTTGAGTTGTGGTGCCACTTCCATCCCAACCTGTATTAAAAGAAAGAGACAGATTTTTATCTGCATCCATCACCTACTATTTGCCTTCAACTGTAAGACAAAAATGCATTTTCCAGAGAAAAAGTATTATTGAAAGTATTAATATAGTCTCAATAGCTGGAATACAGAAAATTAAATGCTTTGCATGACAATAATTCCTCTTATTTTAAATAAAAGTCAGGATTTTTATTCCAAGAAAATGTTCACTATTTTGTATGATCACCTTTGCCAACAAAAGGGAGCATGCCAAGCCCTTCCTTACTACATAACTGCAATTACTATTTCTAGATTATTAGTCCTAACTGCTCTATCATTATGCATCTCTTTTAGTTGCAGCAGTAGAAGGCAGATTGTGCACACAAACTGTTTTCTAAAAAGCCTTCAAAAACCTTGCACTATGTAGTAGGAATGATTAGGCTATGACCAAAATGCAGGCAATTACTGTATTTCAGGATTCAAATAAACTAAGCAGCTCATCTACCAGCATAAACCAGAGCTTAGCAATTACTTGCAGATGCAGGAATTCATATGAACACCCCTGACTAGTATATCAAAAGTATACTGGACAGTTTATTCAAACAACAAATACATCAGCACTGAACAAACTCATTGCATTTCATAATGGCAGCTGATTTCATGTAAGTATTACTAATTAGCAGCCCTACCATTTTCCAATTATAGTTGAGATCTTTGCCACTACTTCAAAAACGTATTTCACAAATATTTTTACACTATTGTTGACTTTTTGAATCATTTTAGGGTCTCTTCTTGGTTAAGTTTATCTTGGCTGAGCTGTTAAGGTAACTGCAGGAGTAGTTGCAGATAAGAACATTGCCACACTGCGCAGTCAGACAAAAATCCACTGTGTGAACACTTTACCAAGTGGCTACTCTGCCAAGAAGCTTGCCAGCCCTCTGCCTGCCACATACACTCTAGCAGTAAGAGAAGGAAGACAAACACAGGGAAAGTGCATATATTAACTATGCAAAGCAGCATCTAGCAATCAGACAACAGCATGTAGGCTCAAAGTCCAAGCTCTCGTTTCACTTAGGTCCCTAATATTTTGCCCTACCTGAAGATGAAAAACTGGCATAAGCAGCAAATATAATTCTTTTTGCTTATTATAAACACCTAAAGAAAGACTCCCAATTATTATAACAAAAGAGAAATTTTAATTTTTGGTTTGTTAGAAGGAAGAGACAGGCTGCTGACTACTTTAGATAAAAACAGTAGTTGAAAGAAATTTTCCTTTAGTGGCAGAGCTAACCACAGTAAATCTTTGATACAAATCTGAAGTGTTAAACGATAGCCTACCCTGCAAAGGTATGCTCTTGCATAGACTGCAACCAGTGGATCTCCAATTCCTCTAATCATAGACGTTAACCGTGGGAGACATTCCGAAATTCCCCTGTTAAGATTTTTCAGAAATAAAAAATAAGATTTAACAATCAATAACAGAATTAAATCACCTACAGATATCTTCAGTAGCTGCCTTGAAGACTGACAATTGAGCATGAGTTATAGAAACACCTACCAAAGAAGCAGCATATTAGCACAAAATTTTATTGCCAAAGTAAAATTTTATGTCTATAGTAACACATATTCTATATTAAAATTGCAGGTTTTGCCATTAGGAGTAGTGCAGATAGCCAGGTTGGATGCTTGGCTTGTAAAAGACAAGCACAACTGAAAAACGCCTCCTCCAGTTTGGAGTAACAGCAGAGCTATAGAAGGGCTGTAATTCAGTGTGAAGAAAGCCGCTGCCTAAAGCAGAACTGGCAGAACTCCTTGTATGTCTCATTTTCCCACAGGTCCTTTTGACAGAGCTCTACTAGTGCCTGGAGATGAGGCCCATCAATTCCAGTAAAAGAACTGCTTTTTAGGGATAATGAAGTTGTCACTGTAGTAGCAATTTGGCTTACAATACTCATTTCAAAATATAACTGAAAAAGGATGATTACGTGTGAAAGAACATTTTCAGCTCAGCAACTGACACTGTTTGGCAACATATGAAGCTTATACCAAGTCTTTCAATAGATAATGGCTCATTGCTCCTAAATTGTTTCTCCAACTCTGTCTCTAGCAATGCGACACATCAATATTTTCCTTTCAGTTTTCTATCCTGTCTTTTTGCCACACTCTTCATCTCAACAATCTCGCTTCCCCCTCCACCATCTGAAGCCACTGGTTTTTAATTTACCAACTCCTGATGTCACAATTATACATATATTTCAAAACTGCAAGCACTATTGCATTTCAAATTGTATCACAGTTCACCTTGAATTTTTCCATGGCATTTTCACTAAAAACTCCAAAACCTCTCAGTACTGCTTCTTCCCAGATCTACTTAGACCATATCCACCACTAATCACAAAACTAGCAAGCTTTACTCCTTAAATTGGTTTATAAGCCTGCCCAGTTCACCTCCTTCCCATACTTAACGTTTACTCTTACGTTTTGGATAGGAACTTATTGCACTTCAGTATTGCTGCTTCCACGTAACTAAAATGAAACCAAGTTAAGGAACAAAACTAAGATGCATGCCATTTAAAAACATAAAAACTTATATACTGAATACATACTGAATTAACTATTTCAAGGCCTTCTATAATCAATCTCACTACACTTTGTTGACTTTTACAATTTATCTACAAGATTTTGAAACTTTGTTTCAAAAGTCTTCCACACATCAACTCTATCACTGCCACGCTGCTCCTAGCCAATAATTCAGCATTCATTTACTATGAAACATGACTCAAAATTAAAATCAAAACATACAGCCTGAAACAAAACAAAGTCAGTATAAACATCAGATTGCTGTGGGTTTTACTGAAACAAACATGTTCATTTTTGGAAAAGTCTATGAAAAACCTGCAGACACACTCTGAGAATCTCATTTGACAAGGATACAATCTGGGAATGAGTTCTCTGATTGAAGCAATCTTGAAAAACCAGTTTAAGCAAGTTTCTTTGGCTGTATCGTTAACACACTCTGGAGAAAAATTATCTGGGGAAAAAAAACAACCACCCAGACATAGTTACATTCTTTCTGGAAACAAGTTACTTTTCATTCTAGGTTTAAAATTGTATTCTCTTTCCTTTCAACAAGAAATTAGGCACACCATAATAAACTAGGCAGTAGGTTTGCTTCTCAAATACCTTGTGCAGCAGTAAGAGCTGAGGACACAGACAGCAAGAAGTCATTAAAGCCTCCATTTTGCATTAAGTAAAATTTCAGAAGCTGAAGTCAAGCACTAAAAGCCAATCTCGGATCTGCTACTTAGAAATCTAACCTTTGCCTCCCCCAAAAAGCAGAAATTGTAAAATAAATATATGTATATATAAGGAATCTATAACAAATATATGTACATAAATCTATAAGAAATGCATACATATAAAAGATTTAATCCCTCAAATTATTTACTTTAATAGGCTAATATAATTTTTTAAAATATGTTTTAAAACTACATTGCAAGAAGCAGAAAATATTAAACACTGACAGAACACTTGGTTTTGTACATTAAACATCTAACACTGCAGCACAGTTCTCTCCTCATGAGCTCTGGGACCATTTGTGTCAGCTGCCAGCAGGAAAAAGCTGCCACCCTGGGCTGGAACAGATGGGTTAGGGGGACAGTGCTCTGTTCAGATGGGCATGCAGTTGCATGGCTAACTGCCTCCTCTTTCTCTAGACTGCCTGGAACAGAAGGCAAGAACAGGCTTCTTGGGATCACCCAGGTCTGAGGCAAGATGGCTGGGAAGGATGGGTCCCTCTTCTCAGTGAAAAAGCTACACAAGCAGCTTCTGCTGTGAGTGTCTGCTTACAGACTCCTTGTGAAACAGTTTTAATATACCAGTGCTCTGCCATCCCTGTCCCCAGAAGGTGAGAAGCTCCTGCTCCACAAGAAAGTTTCCAACTTCCAAGACTAGAGAAGCTGCATGCTAGATGCTGACTGAACACAGGAAGATGTTCTTTCTCATCTAGGACCCTAAGAGTTCTCATCCAACTTTGTTTCACTTGGTTCCCACGGGATGAGTATGGAGGTTGGGCCTGAAATCCCCAGGGGTTCACGTTGCCATGCACAGGAAGCCCAGCACACATTTTCCTTCTCCTTCCCACTTTTATAGCAGCTTGGGAAGTTCCCACCAGCAATGGGCCTGGCAGCTGTATAGCTGCAGCATGAGCTCAGCTCTGCAAAATGGAGGTAACTGTGCCCTGGAATCGTGACACGATACAGAAACTGTCTGCCTTCATTAATAAGAACAGTTTGTCAGATCTGCAACAGCCAAATTTATCTTAGATATTTTCTGTAAGTTTATTTCAAATTTAAATGTTTGTTGGTTTCAAGCTTCTAGCTCAAATCCTATAGATTTAACCGCAACTTCATGGTACTGTTGCGACTTCAACTACAGAGTTAGAATGTTTCGTATTTCAAGGACATACAGTTAATACACTCCAAACTGTAAGGAAATGCCTGCATTTCCATGGAATGTTTCACTGCCTTTCTAAAGAGGTTCTTCCACATACATTTGTACTGTAAATGTCAAATTAAGACTTTTACATTGTGTTGGAACATCAACTGAAAAAAAAATAGAAAGGGCCCAAGTTAGAAAAATTATGCTATCCTAGTAAACTGATCACGACTCAATGACAGCCTGCTGCTGTCTTCCAAAAGGCTTCCCCAATTAAAGCAAAACTATCAAGTTTCCAATGTAACCACAAAAACATCTATTTACCAAAACCTGAGACTTGCAGCTTTGTTAAATTTGTACCATTAACTATAAGCTATTAAAATGTAGTACTTTCCGAAAAGAGCATATTCTAAGAAAAAAAGGAAAAAATAAAGCTTCCTTCATCTAATTTGGCCATTCATGTTTAACTCTCCCTCTACATATGTATCATTCTTTGTGATTTCAAGTCTCAGGAAGACCCAGTTTATGTTTAGTAACAAAGCCACAAGCACATTTTATTATATTTTAGGTATATTCTTCACAGTTAAAATGTCAACTTGCATAAACACTGTGAATGGTGGAAGCTATAAGCAATGGACTTTACTCTGTTAAAAACTGAAAATGACCAGATTCAAATCAGAACTTTTTCCAGAGGAAATACGGTAGCATGGGTCCTGTTTAACCTTTCAAGTTAGTTCAGACATGCTTTTTTCCAGGACCACAGCAGATACAAATGCAAAGTTACCTGGCAAAGAGACACGATTGTCCACACACATTGACTGAATTCTTTCATATACTAGTTTCCCTGTTTAAAAAAAAAAAATAATAATAATAATAATAATTCATAACAAACTTACAAACTGTAAAAATCTTAATACAAAGTTTCCTCCTCCAATATCAATTGAAATCAGTTGGAAAAAACTTCCCAGAACACTAACATTATGCTGCCCTCTAGTGAGGTTGAAACGTTAAGTCTGAATTTAGCACTTCACACACTATAAAAAATTTATCTAGCTCCCATAAGCAACAGAGGTAGCACACAGGTCAGACTTCTGCCAGGCCAGGAAAGGACAGCTGGTGTCCTGTCTTTGATGGTTTGGACATTATGTTATCTTCAGCAACTTTCAGTAAGTAGCAAAGAGCACAAAGAGGAAGCAAGATTTGAAAATATAATTGGATCTATGTTATATCATGTCCTGCTAAACATCAAAATACCCTTTAACTTTGAATGCCATCATAAATCTTTTCCACAACATGGCAGAAAAATAAAAGAATCACATGAAGTGGATGACAATTTCACTGAAACGATCATTTGAAAATTATAAAAATGGATTAAATTCATTAACTAAATTTTGATCACTTCACAGTCCCTATTCAGATAAAGAAAACTTTCTGACTTCTATTCTTCAAATACAAATAGAATGAAATGCTGAGTCAAGAGGCTGCCATAATAATAAGCATGTTTTCAATTTCAAAATGCAGAGATCATTATTATTCCTAAGGTTTTGCTCCAGATATTCACCAGTAATTAGTAAAACTACAAAATTAAGTATTTGATTTTAAAGACTTCACTCAATAATTTTTGAACAATTATATACCATGTTTATACAACTGGTGTCCAAAAGTTTATGTGGAAGAGTTAAACATTAAAACTGAGAGTCACTTCAGCACTTCTCAGGTAACTTCAATGTTTTCTAACATCACAAAAAAAATATTTTCATCTTATTAACAATTACATAGTAAGTTTGGCACATTAGTACTTACCAAAAGTATCAAGGATATCTGTAATTAAAACGAATTTACTTGGATAAAACTGGATTACTGTTGTGTCTGAAAGAAGCTTAGAACACTAGAAGGAAAAAAAACACCAAAGAAACATTTTAGAAAACAATGCAAGTTAGTGTTTTTACTCCAGACAGGCTGGAACAGATGAGTATCCACAGACTGAAAGAACCAAGATGAACAACTATCCAGCGAAAAGCACAAGAACATCTAACATAACACATCATTGTACTCTCTGTACTTTTTTGGTTACTCTTCATTTCCAGCAGAGCTAGTCACAGATTTTTTTCCCTTTATACAAGTTAATACACAATGCAGAATTTCAGCTGACCATGCAGATCTGTGCAGTTGTAAGATGAATTCTCCCCAGAAGCATAAAAAGACAATCTTTTCTAAAACAACTTTTTTTAAGAGCATTTTTCCAGTTTCTCACTCTCTCTCTCTAAACATCCATATCAAACACAAAATGTGAAATAGACTAAACTAAGAAACAATTTTAAAAGTTTAGCTAATGAGGTTTTCAACACATCTTTGCAGCTCTTGTAACCAATTTGAACATTTTGGAAACGGGTCAGCTGGTCCACAGTCAGCTCCAGGGAGGAATCTGTAATTAGTCACCACCCACAGGCACCCAACATGATTGTGGCAGTTAGACTATAATGATGGCTGATAGAAAGCCCCATTTGGAAACGTATTAGCCAACTTAGTTCTAGTATTGTCGAATGCAAGTCCAGGTAGGAACCATTTGTAATATAAATTCAAAATACACAGTGAGGAATGAAGATATTTTAAAGACTTTTAATAAAGCTATACTTTGTTTTCCAAAGTGGTGAGAAGACTGCAGAAAAACTTTGGGACAAAGAATCAACTTCCACCTAAAGAAAACAGAAATGACTGACTGGGGAGAGAAAGACTCCCTACACGAGCCAAACATGGCTTTTGACAATGAGCCTTCTCCAGCCTCTATTTAAGACTGACAAGTACAGTATTCTCTTGATCTCTGTCCCTCCTCTCTTCATGAGGAGACAACTCTTGAATCTCAGTGGAATAAATAAAGTTTTTATTACATTCCAAAATTCCAGGAAGCAATCCAATGCCCCCCCAAGACTGCTTTGTTTAAATAAGAAAATCGTAACATTTGAGTATGCTTAAACAAGGGGCACACTTAATCTTTTTGCTTTATGCTTCAGGGAGAAAGAGTGCACCAAAAAGACAGGAGAGAGCATTCACATCTTAAAACCAAAGCAGAATCTTCCCTACAGTGTGGTAAGTCACTTTCAAAGAAAGGTAATTCAGTAGCTGTTTAGGACCTATACACACCATGAACACTTACTTACCACTTTTCTTAGACCTCACATATATAATCAACTTAGTTCAGCTTACTCTAAGTATCTTAGCTTATTGTACATGTAAAGTATCTTGTAAAAAGGTAGTTGAGGAATTCATGTTATAACTTCAGACCCTGCCTTAATAACCAGAACTCTTGCTGCACTTCAAGCTCTGTAAAACTCTCATACAGAGAATGAGGGCTCCATCCCCCATGTTCAAATGAAAGATTTCATCATTAGTTTTTAATCATCAGTTCTTAAATAAGGATCATTCTGGCACTCAAATCAAAATTGCTTTTTCCAGCCCAGTATACCTTTCTGAAAATAACAACCAAAAAGAAGGTCAAACACACTCCTCCTATTGCACACTAAATAGTATGTGATACTAATAATGATAGACTACATATATAATCACAGCCTGATGTCAAGAAAACTGCTTAATTCTTTAAGAGGATACAACATTAATAAATTATATTATTTACTAGGAAGAACCACAACAAGGCAAGTTCATTCAGGTTTCTTATCCTGCTTTAAAAGTAAAGAATTACTATTAGTTACTTATAATCTCCTCTACGAAAGATTTTTGAACTCATGTTAATTACCCAAACACCTATTTCATTCTTATCCAGCATCTGCAACATGAAGTTCAAGTGCAAAATGAACAATACACGGACCATGCTTTAAGAGAGATAAACCTATGCAATTTTGATACCACTTTCCTAAAAGAAAGCACTGAATCCCATTTTAGAAACTACATTATTTCAAAATTGTTTGTGAAACCATTTGTAAAAGAATACGTGAAAGGATTAATGTGTGGATTATCACTGCACGTCAGACACTGTATATATACACATATTAATGCACTGTAAATACAGCACATTTATGTCCCTTTTCTCCTCCTCCAGACTTTTAATACTGCATTCTCTTTCACCAAGATATTCACACTTCACAATGCAATCTATAGATTTTTTTTTTAAATAATAGTGCTGATTTCATAGTATTACAATAGAACATTAGTCAACCTAGGTGACATATAATTTTTTGATCTCCCTTCAGTTATGTTTCATTTCTTCTATTGTCTTTACCACAATTTAAGCTGAAATTACTGCAAACAGTGTTCATGAGAGTATCCAGCATGAGAAAAAAAAAAAAAAGCCTGACTTTATATAACCCCGCTTGGTGACTATTAGCATTACATCAGTTTTACAGCTTTTATGGATGTCATTATCTCCTCTGTCCTCTGATGCACTCTGCCTCTAGCCGTTTTTTAAAGGCCAAGCCAAACAAAAGAGCATTTAATTGTCCTATTCCCTCCTGACCCCCCTAATAGCCCATCGCCTTAAGTGAGCCAGAGGAAGGCTGGGAGGAAGTTTAAAAAGCAAAACAAAACCCCATAAAAATATAAACACTTTAAAAATCTGGAGTTGTTTTCTGCACTTTGCTAGGATCCTAAATCAGACTGTTCAGCTGCCTTAGTAAGTCTGGACAAGAAAAACACTGACATGCAAAAAGCTATTCTGGTATTATTTGGGATGGGGAAAAGGAGAGGACAGGAAATTACATGACCTAGAATGAGCTGGTAGCACTATGTGTTATTTTTTTCTAATTATCCCTAACCAGGTAAAATTTTCACATCTGTCACTTGGCCACTCTCTTTAATGAGGACTCCATTCCACATACTCTAGTCAAAATCAATAACAAAACAGTTGAAAGTTCAACTAATTCAGAGTTTTATGACTTCTGACAAGAAATGGGTTTCAGTGAAGAACAGAAGAAAATAGTAGAAAAGTAATAGAAACACTTCTTTTCCCAAGAATGAATTCAGACGAGCCACACTACCAAACTGACCCATTCTGTACGGAGCAAAAATGTAAAACTGACCTGGATGACTATTTTCAGAGCTTTTACTTTCTGATCAGAGGACCAAGCATCCTTCAAAGACTGGTTCAGTTCTTCAATGCGGTTCATGTAATCCTGCTGAGTCAAATTCAACAGCTCCTTCTGTGACCCCTGGCAAGAAAAGATGAATCTACTCAGAAAGGGGAGCAAGGAAGAAGAGTGCCATTGTTAGAGAGTCAAATCACTGGACGAAACCCACAAAAATTACAGAATTACCTAATTTTCCCTTCTTACCTTTGCTGCATCAATATTGCAGGTGTTTGGCACAAGAGTGCATCACAACTGCTTTGTTCTGCAAGAGTCATGTATTCTGGTACCCAAAGCTGTCCATGAGATCGGAAACACTGCACTATTTCAGTGCTACGGTACTCGTGGTAGAATTAAGACACTAACACTATACATAAGCATACTAGTGCCTACGTGGAGGCAGTATCAGTGAGAAATTAGGCTGTCTTGACAGCGCGGTCCTAAGAATTTTGTTGACAGGAAGAAAAATCTGGCTATGCTTCACCCTCAGTAAGAAAATAAAACTATCTTCATTTCATGCTCAGTACTGAAGCATTCTTGTGATTTTTTTTCCAGAATATCTTACAGAACTTATAAAAAAGTTATATACCAAAAATAAACTAGTGAAATAATTGTTTAACCTTTAGAACCAAACTGACACAGGAACAAAGCGATTATAAACATATTTAGAAAAACCAGAAGGTGGTTCTGGAACAGCTTTCAGTAGAAGTATGAGTGACATTAAAAACTACCTTCAAGACTAGTTTTGATGAGTTTATTAAGCTGCATTACAGAACACAGACTTCACGATATGAGAGTCTAGAAACAACCATCAGTAAAAACAATCATGGATGAAGAGATAAAATACAAACACAATTAGTTTCACCCAAGGTTACATATTTCCTTATGGGAAAGGGTACTTTATTTTCCTACTAAAAGAATCTAATCCTTCATTTGTGATATGCAACTATTAGAACCGTGCTGGCTCAGGCAATGGGCAACGTGAAGTTAGTTAAGAGGCAGACGTTTCAAAACTACATTACTCAAAACAATTCCAGAAGTACCCAAAGGACTCAGGTTTTAGGAAGAGTAGTTATGGAACACCTCATCTTTGCACAGTAAAATATTGCAGTTTGAGAAATAACTTGAGTACTCAGAATTTCTATCAAACATGTAAAAGTAACTTTAATCAAGCTCAGGTAGGTAGTATACAGCTTCTGCAACAGTGGCAAACAAAATTATCAGAAGTTAAGACTACTAGGCTCCATGAAGCTTTACAGCAGCTGTGGAGCACAGTACACAGTACCAAGGTAAACCAAATCAGCAGATCAGGTGAATTTTTCAACCACAATATCTAGTGATACAAGAATATGATTCTGCCTGAATTCTGTAACAGTAAGGACAGAATTATTAAAGTCGTCCCATGGAAAGTATATATTTGACTAAAGATTGCATAAGCATATTCAGAATCAGGACCTTCTTAAAAGATTTTTATTTCACAAATTTACTTCACTTTTAAAACGGTGATGTAAATGGATCAGAAATTTTTCTCACCTCTTCCAGATCATCCAGTTCTTCTAACCTTGTCCTCACTTTTTCAGAAACTGCTGAGCCAGTAGTTGCAGCTTTTCCTATAAAGAATTACATGTTAGCGTTTCTTTAACATTTAAACACTTGGACTTCTAAAGGGAAAGAAGGAGCTTGCCAGACTCGGACAACTAGTTGCTCTCATGACAGAAGACAAGTGGTTTGATCCATTTGGTAACTATTTCTGAAGACACACATTTAAACATACCTACAGTTCATTCACTTTGAACAGGGAATGAGAATTTGAACAGAGAATGAGAAGTAAGCAAAACTGAATACAAACATTGCAACTTCTGCTGGTAAGGAAGGAACCACTGGATAGAACCGCAGGATAATTTATGTTAAAAAAAGCCCTACAGAGGTCTGTGTCCAACTCGCCTCCTCAAAGCAGGTCCAATTTTGAAGTTTTAACAGGTTACACAGGGTTATATCCAGTCAATTTAATGATATCTAAGGACAGAGATTCCACACTCTCTCTAGACATCCTGTTATGGTGTTTGACCGTTCTCATTCAAAAAAAAAAAAGTATTTCCTTTTTTTGCAGAAGCTGAAATGCTGCATGTTTACTCATATATACAAATTCTGGTTTACTATGCAATCAGCTATGACTACTCAGCCTGGATTTGCTTTGCTGGAAAACATGATAAAATATTTAACATTTGGTTCTTTTTTGAACACTCAGCATACAGTTGAAATAATTTCACTTTCATGTAAAGAGCATAACTGCATAAGTTCTCAAGGGACTTGTTTGCTTTCCCTTCCAGCAAACAGAAAAGTTGATAAACATGATCCTCAAAATATCACTGCTCCCTTCAAGTGGAAGAAAGTTTTAAGCTACAGTGGAAAGCTGTGAATTCTGTTTCATTCCACAACACATAATCACAAATTCATTAGCCTACAAGGCATACAAGACAAGGTTGTTGGGTGATTTGTTTTCAACAATTATTTAAAGTAAAAATCCAGCAGAAATCCTGGTCACAAGAAAAACACAGATCCAACCATGTATTAGGAAAGGGGAAGGAGAGGAAATCACATTTCAACTATTCTTGACCACAAACCTGTCACTGGAACCTACCTCAAGCAAAATCTGTTACTGTTAGATATAAAGGAACTGCTTACCTTTTTCAGATCCCATGTACAGATTCTGTGAAGAGACAGAAAAAGCAGACTTTAGAAAACATGTACTTGTTAGCATTCCAAGAATGCACAGGGTAATTATAATGCTAAGTAAGATTCTAATAATTTAGAAGTAGACATAAGACCAGAAGTTATTTGTATTGTTAGAAAAAGACAAAGTAACAGCTTCTAAGTATCAACACACTCCAAAACAATAATTGTAAGTGAGAGCTTGTGGTACAGCTTTCTACAACATTAAAACTGAAATTTAGAGGACCAGTATTTACTCATGAAATAATTACAAAACAGCAACATCCAAAATCTGTTAAAAGTCTACTACAAAGACATAAAACTGGAAAAGCTGCCACTTACAATAGAGAGCTTCTCTGTTGTTGTGTATCTAGCAAGGATTTCACCACGTTTGCTTGACCATGGTTCAAAGTCACTTCCTACTGCTGGGCTGTCATCTTTATCCCGTTTCTTTCGTGTACTATCCTATGAGAGCAGCAAGTGTTAAATACAAATCAGTAAGAAAATAGAAGGCTGATAAAGGTCACCTTAACGTTTCAGGCACTTACTGATCCATAAAGTTACATAAAAAAGGTAAATTAAAGAGAATCGTTTATTCTACTAATACAGTGCATCTTCTATTTGTATTAACCTCCAAATTGGTGAGACAAATGTATTTTATCCAGTGTTGACTTTGTGGTGTTTTTTTGTTTCTTTTTTAAAATATTATTTAGTTAACTGCCCTCCAGTGTTACCATCGTAGCAGTAGTTGTCACAGGATCTGCAGCTGCTGCAAATAACGACAAGGGATCAGTACCATCCAACACGCTGCTCAATGGATCCAACATAGAACTAGAAGAAGAGGAGGAGGTAGAAGAAGTACTTCCTTTACGGTTCATTTTCTTAGTCTTGGATTCAGTAACCTGAAAGAAAAATTCAAAATTATTAAACAAAAATACTTTCTCTTCCCCCTATTTTCTTCAATAAATCATCAAAATATGTACTACATAAACTGTGCTGTTGCAATGAAAGCAAGGACCCACCTACAAGAAAATCTTTAGAATCAGCATTAACATTTAAATTGAAGCACTTCTTCTTCCCCTGAATCTGGAGACACTGCACTAGCATTCCCATTACTTTTTTCTTTTTCCTTCCAATTCCGGGTCTAAAGAACTATAGGAACAACCATCCTAAATTTCTTTCTAGTACCCATCCTCTCTTATTGTTTCCATCTAATCCAACCTCTGTCTTGCTGTTTGATTTCCTCCACCAGTCTCATCTTTACTTTTCTCGTACAATACTCAAGGCTGAAATATCAAATCCATTCTTAAGGCCTCCATCTTGTCTCCCTACTGACCTTCCTGAGTAGAAGCTGCTATCCATTTTTCATTCATTAGTGTATGACTTATCTCTTTGAAGCTGGATTTTTGTGCACATCCACATTTTTAAAAGCCTCTCATACAGTAAAGAAGTTATAAATGTTTTAAAGCATACAGCTGACTGGAAGTTAACCCGAAAAAAAATCTTATATCAAGCAATTATGCAGGTTACTTGTAATGCAACAATTTGATTTCAAACTTATCCATTATTCAGCATTTAATGCAACCAAGAAAACCCACAAGTTGAAATGCTGTATTAGTCAGAAGGAGACTGGTTTTGACAGGTAACAGTACCAGTAATTTCTGTAAAAGACAAACACAGTAAACCTTTGATGTCTCTAAAGTAACAGGCCACTAATACAGAAAGCAGCTTCACTACTACCACCACCAACTTCAAAGGAACATAGTCAGCTTTAATTCACATTCATTTTCCAAAAGCACAAAAAGCAACTTACTGTAATGGGTTTTAGTGGATGGTAATCGCCAAAATCCAAGGGTACAGATTCCAGTTTGCACACTTCAGATTCTGAAACGTAGTTTCTTGATCTCGCATGCCTTAAAAAGCAAGAGTAAAGGGAAAGTATACATGCATACTGACAGAGAAACATATCCTACATCTATATAGATGCAGGCATATTCACAAAAAGAAATGCACATTGAAAAATAAGACAATGTAAAGACCAAAATTTCTCTATTGAGATACATACACTAAAACAGAAGAAATTTTACTTTCAGACATTCAACTGTACTCTGCTCTACAGCTGGATTCTCTTCCATTTCACTGGATGTCAAAAGGGCAATTTAATTAGCATTTCTATGTGTAACAGGCTGGTGCAGATTATCAAACACATCTTTCAAACTGAACGGTCAGAGTGAAAGAAAAAGGCAAGTGTGAAAACACAAGGGAAGAAATCAAAGTGATCATCCACAGATATAGTGAGAGACTAAACAGATTAACTTGTGTAGCTGCAAAACTCTTCCCCAAAAAATCTATTTCTATTTGTTCATTGTACTCATAACAGAAGTTGCAAAAGAAAAAAATATTTGTACTCATATGCTTGCATTGTGAATAAGACCCGGTATAAAACCCTCACCTCTCCTACAAAAATTAAGTATGCCACTAATTGAAATAGATCACAGAAATATACATATTTCAGGTTTTATTTTTAATCTGATATTAAGAGAAAATTGTGAGAACTATGGCCTCCATCTCTAATTTAAGAGAGACTTGATTCCAGAATAAATAAAGGTATTGGAGTAAAACAACATTGCCACTATGAAGTAACAGTGACATACACTAATTTATCAATCACAGTTTAAGGACGCTGCTTTTATAAAATAGACCATTCATCCTGGTTGTAATTGCTCAAATATAAATAGAAATTTATATTTTTAAAGGCTTTTAAAGCACATTTGACAACATAGGAAGCAAAAAAAAAAGGCAGATTAAAACTTCCCTATCACTGGATGACAATTTCAAGAGACTTAGGAGTTACAAACACTTTCTAATACCTCTGACAACACATCAATATATGAAAATAATTCCTTTTAATTGTATGGAGTAGTAGTAACGGCTAAATAGGGAAACAAGAATACAAACTCACAAAACCACATAGGACAGCTGCTTCCTAAAACAACTGCCATTATAGCGACCACACGGTAACTATTGCTACTGCTAAAGGGAGGTAAGTACTAAGGCAGAAAAATATTCAAGTAAAATCTATAAAATTATATTTTTATTTCTTTGCATTCTACCCTCCACAACGTCTCGATTTCCTTTTTAGTCCTTGAAACATGCAGAGCAGCTAACTATTCGTTCCTGTTTCATCCAGGATCCTGGGAATGTTTATAGCACACACTAAGGCCTTCGCTGAATCAGTAAAATCAGTGGATACACAAAGGTTTCTTTAATCAGACTCCTAACGAAAACAAACAGCATTCCCCCCATATAATAAACATCTTTCCCACAAAAACTAATCCAAACTTTCCAAGACCATTCCATTCAGAGACCTAAGTCATTAGGAAGAATTTCAGGAGTGCCAAGCAGCCAACTCTTCTATAGATACTATGTACCCCCCACAAAAACCCAGATTCATTTAAAAAAAAAAAAAAAAAATTATATATATATATATATAAAAAGAATGAGTTTAATTTGTGGTTGTGGTACTCCAAGGAAAAGCTTTGGCATTTAATGAGATACAGCAGAGCAAGAGAGAGTACAGTGAAATCCACATGCCTATTCCTTTTGTTTTCTTGATCTCCAGCTCCTTTTCTTTATACACAAATAGTCACTATTGTCCCATGATTCAATGATTCTCCTTGCTCACTTGCTTCTTAAGTTAATTAGCACTTCGGTGAAAAATCTTTCAAACTCTTTCTGGCTGCCTAATTATAACGTTTTTATTACATTTCTGTCAGTGTTTCCATATCTCTCCTTTACAGATATCTCCAAACAGCAGTAAAGATGTCCCTGACAGTACACAACACTTAGCATACCACTTCCAGGCCAAAATCAGTCATACACTAACTATAACATAAGGCATCACTGGGCAAGTATACATGTCTAATACACATGTGGGAGTGAAGAGCAGCTGTTCACCCTGCAAGTAGGTCTTTAAAAAGTACATTTACAAGGTGGCTATTCAAGCAATAAGACAACTTGTAACATAGCTAATAAGGGGCACAAGTTCAAACTTGCTCTGACATTATGTTCGACTTACTCTCCAGGGAAAGGAGCTTAAGCATTCGTGTCTCGGCAGTGCAGTCAGCTTTCAAGAGTAAATAAAAATCACTCAGGCCAAGCTGGGGTTTCATCCCCAGTGCTTACTGCAAGATCCATCTCTGCTTGCAGGTAATTTTTCAACAGTGGGTTTCAACCTCTTTACACACACAAACATCACTGCAATTGCCACCACTCCACACCTTCGACACTTGCCAGACTGCCAACTGTCTCCTCTCCTCCTGGCAAACTCTGGGACCACTGTACTTCCTCCTCACCCCTAAGTTTCTGAAGCTCTTCCAGCACCCAGCGCACCCTATGAGCACCCCCGGGACCCTGAGCTAAACATTGGACCCCGAGCTAAACATTGCACCTCCACCCTGGGTTACTGGGAAGCTGGTCACTAGCACAGTGGGACACCCTCACCTCACCCCTGGGATTTGCATTCTCCCCACTACCAGCCATCAGGGCACCAGGCCCAGGGGACAATGACCCCCTTGAGACACCCACAGGACACTTCCCTTGCACTCCAGGTTCCGCACACAGCCAGCCCCTGTGCAGCAGAACCACCAGCCTGCACTGCACACCTCCCCTTCTCGGGACACGGCACCTTCCAGGTACACTGCACCCACACAGAAGTGGTGCTTATCCTAAAGCAAGGGTTCAGAAAGCTTACAGGGAGCACAAACAATCAAGGCAGGCAAAATGGAAAAGAATCTCTTCACAACATCTACATATATTGGTATTGATAATACAAGGAAGTGCATCCCACAAGTGAATGTACCTACCATTATTTGAATATTAAACATAAACCCCAAACAATATCTCTAGGTATGTCCACACAGCTGTTACAAATAGACCTAAGCTTTAAATTACTTTACATATTTGCCAATTCTTTTCTACTCTAACAAATCTGAACACTATGTTAATGCACGATCTTTTTATTCAGTGCCAACAGGTGCTATTTTTTCCTCATACAAAGACTAATGAGTACGCAGACAATCTGCAAAACACCTTTTTAAAATTAGCATCCAACAATACTTAGAAATAGCTAGGGTTCTTTCTACTGAACCCTGTTGCATGACAATATCTTCCATAATACAGAAAAACATGCATTAAAACATTTTGTTCTGGTTCATTATTTCTCCATGGACACTTTTGCATCAGTGTTACCAGAGCTGCTTCTTAGCATTGGTGTATTATGTAAAAGTCAATTGTCAGTTTCTGCTCTATGGCTGCAGTCTTTAGCTTTTCATTGTATTTTGGGACTGCTAGAAATTCAAAAGTTGCAGCTGTACTTATTATTTCCTGTTTCTGCAAGGTCACTGACCACACACACAGCTTTCACTGTAACTACCACACTCAAAGTAAATATCAACAGTTCCAACGGTCAACTAATGTGTTAGAGCTGTCTTACACCCTCAAATTTTCTTAATAATAAGTTCAAATTTTAAAGTATTTCATAGCTCATTGAATTTACTTTAAAATGCATAGTTCTGACGTTTGCATAAAACCTCATTTGGTTTCATTAACAACGACTTTTAAATCCACCAATTATTTCCACTTTTTGTTAAACGTGAAAGTTTGCTCATTAATAATACGAAAGAGTGAGATGATTTTCAGCATGACAGTATATATAGGGGGAAAACTATTCAGCATCCTAGTGCTCCAACAGGCTCTAATTGCTGCAATATTACTTTTCTTGATTCCACATGAGGTTTGATTTCGAGTTTACTCAGGACTATAATCCATCAGCTACATCAAAACCTGGAAGCTGGATATATCTGATGTGCTAAAAGAACAATAGCCTCAGGAGAGCAAGTCTTCCACAAACAGAAAATCAGCTCATCTGTCAACAAGTCTGAAGAATAATGAACTATTAACGTATTTTCCTTTACTCTGTCAGAGAAAGGGTGCTTGTTTTATCCTTCCTTTCTGTAACAAATACCACTGTTAAATTATTCCATGTCCTACGCAGTGCAGCTTCCTCAGCTGCACCCCAAGTTTTCCTGAAGAAATACTGCATGTCGCTGGAAACTGACTCTACATCTACGGTTTGTAGCCCGTAAACACCGTAAAGAGCCTGTGGAAGCTCACTAACAGAAGCTAAACTGGGCTAGTAAACGTAAATTCACCGTATGAAACCTTCACCTTCGCGGGCGTTGTGAGGAAGGCGCCCAGACGCTCGCCCGCAGTGGCCCCGCCGGGAGGAAGGCGCCTTCCCCGCTGCGGCCCTTGCTCCGAGCAGGGGGCACCGGCATAAGACCGCGGCGGGACCGCATCCCACCCGACGGCAGGTGCCCCCGCGCTTAGGGAGCGGAAAATGCCGCTGCGCGCCTCGGCGGCACGGCCGGACCCGAGGGCCCGCTCCTGCGCGGGAACCCCACGGAACGTCGCGCGGAGCTGCACCACCGCCCCGGCACCCCGTGTAGCTTAATGTAAAACCAGCGTGTTAGAGATCTGCTCTGCATCTTCAGAAGTCTCCAGAGTCGCCAGGAGAGCGCCGCCTGCGGCCACACGCCGGCCGAGCCGCGGTACCCAGCGCCCCAGCTCCCCCCGCCGCCCGCGGAGGTTGCAGCCCCTCAGGCCCCGAGCCCCGCGGCAAGCAGCCCCGG